TTTTTATAAATTAGTCTTGTGATATAGATTTGATTCGTTATTTTTTTTTTATTTATATTAAGAAAATATTTTTTAACAATAAAATGACCCTGAAAATTGAATGCATCAAACAACATTGTATTTTTCAATTTTTTCAACCAGAAATAAAATATAAAAAATAAAATTTCCATATTAGCCTAGACTTAATTGACTTAATTGCATATTTGTATTAGTTAAAACCAATGATAATATCGAAAGAAATCTATTTTCTTATAATGTATGTACTGATGCTGAATTTAAAAAGGTAAAACTGGTTAAATTAAAGATTGAATAAATTTTGCTATTAGAAATGAATTAAAGATTTACGTAACTGGATTTTTCACGTTGGCACATCACTTGTCAAAAAAAAAAAATTAAATATTTCGCATTTTAGATTTTATAAAAATATCAATATTAAAATATTTTTACGCAAACTTAACTAATAAAAATAACACTCAATAGTAAAACAGAATTTATTAGAAAAAAACTGAAAGCAATTTCAATAAAAGGATAATATAAGAAAGTTTATTTAATAATATAATAAAGTATAAAAAAAAATAATATTCACAATTTTTTTAAAAAATGTAACTTCTCATTAACTTTAAATGCTCACAATTGACAATCGAAAAGTTTACAGTTCTTATTGCTTTTATCATAATGAATGCTATAATTGCTACAGTAACTTTCATTCTTTTGATCATATTTTGTTTCGATTAATAATTGCGTTTTTGCATTATTAAGAATTGAATTTTGAATGTTACCTTTTTTAGTGAGAAAATAAAAATTACTATTTGTTCCATCCACTTAAAAGAATTAATATTACTGTTATCCCATGCTAAAGGATACAAATGCAATCTTACCTAATACATCGCCACGAAGCAATTTGTCAATTTTACATCAAAGAAAAAATATATATATGTTGTACCTCAGATTAACGCTTGCGTCAGATTAAAACTGGCCAAAATTATGGTAGGGTTAGGGTGAAATTAAAAGGATCAACATAGGCTGGTTTTATAATTCTGGTCAATGGGTGACACCTGACGCAAAAAGCGATCTGAGGCACAACATATATATTATCCAAAGATCCCAAATGCTGATGCTGATTCGAGTAAAAAGATGAAGAAAACCGTATTTATATCCTGCTGTTTCATCTTTACTTTTATTTCATAAATCCAAAACTATTCCGTCCACGGCCTTATATTAAACAAAAATAGAATAATTCCAATTATATTTAAAAATGGAGTTTTAAAAAATAAGAAATTTATTGGAAAAAATAATTCCAAATTATACAAATATCAAATAAAATGTTTTTTTGTTTTTATAGGGAACGACAAATAAATATCAAATATTAAATTATAGTTGCATTTTAAACAAAATTAATGAAATGAGATTCTCAATGGTAAATAAATTTTATAGTAAGCAATTTCAATTAGGGACGATAATATGAATGTATAAATTTATAAAAAAAAATGATATGCATCATAAATTTTCCAAATAACGTAGCTTCTAAGTAGTTTTCTAAATAACTTTAAATACTTCATAATTGGCAACCGGAAAGCATCCTGATAATGATGATGTTCTTATAGATTTTCATAAAATGCGACACTATTTCTACAGTAACATAAAGTACAATCGGTGGAAGGAATATGCATCTGAAAATCTATTCCAAACTGTGGACCATAAATTTTTTGGGAACTTTTACATCTATTAATGATTGCACAGTGGGTATTTTTTACTCTGCTAAAAATTGAATTTTGAATATTCCCATTTTTTAATGAGAAAATAAAACTATTTATTGTTTTCATCACTTGACATTTGATATTATTTTTATCCCATGCTAAAGGATTATAACCTCCAAGTATTTCATCAGTTCCTTTAACTTTCATTACCACAACTGTACCAGCGTGACCATGGCAATTATCCCAAAATGTTTGTGAAGCAAATCCATCTCTAGTGCTACTTAAAATTAATTCAAATTTATATGGATTAATTGTTGTTAGATAATTAATTATTTTGGTTCTGTAACCAAAAGTGATCTCGATGGTAAAATAATTTGGTTTAAAAGTCGTTTAGGAGATAATAAATACTGAATGATGTCTTCCCAAAGTTGTTTATCAAGAATCTTTTTGTAAGGCTTAATTGAATCTAAGACTTCATCAACTGAAAGATGAAAGTAGCGAATATACGGTAAACATTGTTGTAAAGTAGTTTTTAATGTAAGAAAATTTTCTTTGGTCCATTCATCAAGGTGTGAAGGAAGAGTAAGATTTTGAGAAATTCCCCACTTGATGACATAATCCCAAATTTCGACTTCTTTCATTTGTAAATCATCTCGCTTAAGAAGTGACACCAGTGCAGATTCTTGAAGGGATGTAAAATCAGAATCATCGAAAATAAGTTTCGGATACTTTGCAACAATATCATTACAATAATTTTTTAATTTTTTAAAGTTCTGTCTATCAAAAATAGTACGATAAACAAGAGAAAAATGATGTTTTAACCAAGCAGTTCTATTAGAAATAATATGAGTTTCTAATTGGTTGGATAATTCCTCAAGTTCAAATTCATTAGCAGTTAACATTAAAAGCTAGTTCGAGATTTAAAATTCTTCAAATTAACAATTCCACCATAAATATATCTACGTAAATAATAATTAATTAATGAATAAATTTATAAGTAAATTAAATTCAAATATAAGTAATAATATTTTTTTTTTTATAATAAAGACTTACTTAAGAATAACTTAAAAAATTTGAGCAGAAATGCTTGACTTAATGATCGTGATCGTTTTGATATTATTATTTGGTGCAATAGTTTCAAATTCACTATGAAAATATGGTGTCCAACATTTTAATACGTTAGAATGTGCCGCAAAAGTTTCATTTTCAACTTCAATGATTACATTGTAATCATCTTTATCATCAAGAAGTTCAATAAAATTTTGCGATAACTTGTCAAAAAATTTTAATTCCATTTTTTCTTTTTGTAAAATTATTTGAGTTGAAAAAATCCTTTTGATAAACATAAAATGGCAATTAATTTATAACATCATAAAATAAGTAATTATAAAAATTACAAATTTAAGAATGACGGCTTTATTAATACATTTTATTGATGGATGAATTTTTAATAAAATATTTTAGTATCAAATTATTTGCTTTCTATGCTATTAGATGTGATATGTTAAATAATATACTATAAGTCATGCTAAAGATAAGTGATAAAATAATTTTGTTGTTGTTACGTATTCAATATTTAATTTATTAATTAATAAGGTTGAAAATTTTTAACAATAGTAAGATAAGTTGGTGACCTTATAATTATTTACTTCCGCATTATTGGAAATTATTCCAATACTTCATCATTAGTTTCCGTCGTAAAAATACCTTCCTTGAATATTAATAATACCTCCTTTATCAAAACATTTATAATGTTATAGAAAGCTGTAATGTGAAGAAAAATTTTGATATTTAGGAAAAACAATTCCAACGATTTCCAAAATTTTGTTATAAAAAATTTACAAATGCATAAAAAAAATTTATATTAAATAAATTCGCACAAAAAAAGAAAAAGGAAGAAATTGCTAGAAAAGAAATTTGTTACTTAAATTATGTCACTTTAGATATACGTAGTAATTATAGAGTAATGAATAAACATCAGGCTCCGTGACATTTAAGTTATGACAAAATCATGCGTGAGAAAACAGCAAAAAGTAGAAAAAGGAAATCAAATGTTTCGAGATTATCATATCTATCAAAAATTCCAAGACTCGCTTCATTGTCTCCAACTTTGGATACAGAAGATAAAGCTCAAAACGAGAATCAGTAAATTCTATTTGAAGAAACAAATAAAGACATGAGGGGATTTTTTTATAAGAAGAAAAAAAATTATACATTAATGAAAAAGAAATAATTTTTTTTTTTTTCATGAGAAAAAATATTTGTAATTCTTATGTATTTTTACTATTTTCAAAAATAAATAGTAATGTTACTAATTAAGGAATTTTTTTTATTAAATGATTAAAAAAAAAGAAAGATTAAAAAAATTAATTATAATAATAGCATTTCGGGAAATTATCTTACCATAAACAATACAAAATGTAATTATCAAATCAATAAATCACCAATATGGAATATATTCTATCCTCTATTTATTATTACAAGGTTGATAACATAAAAAATTAATCGATCATATTAAGTTACATGCCAAATAACAAATATCTAATATCTAACTCAATTGAATTGATAATATTAATGAAAAAATTACAAAATCATGAATAATCAGAAAAGCCTTTCAAAGAAAAACTAAATATATTCCAAAGATTAGAATTAATACTAAAATTATGTATAGAATAATGGGAATAATTACTGATATAAATAATGAAATATCAGAAATACGATGTTACAATAATTTATATAAATGGTGCCCGCAAGTAGAGAATAATTAATGCACATGCTCTCACTGTTCATAAAACACTTGACATCAATGTTGTCGTAGGACATGGGACAGTAGACATAGGATATTTGGGATGTTAAATTTAGATTCTACAAGTAGATTTTCCAAGTAGGCGTAACAATTGAATAAGATCATTACGTAAAGTAGATCAATCATTAATTAAAAATATCAAAAAAACCGTTACCACTTTTTAGATCAATACAAGATATTGATTTAAATTTTTTACTAAAAAAATCAACTATATACTGAAAATAACTTAATATATATAATATTATTATAAAAATTTTTACTAATTATTATTACTACAATTATACAATCCTTTAACATAATACCCAATTATCTATAAACTGATTACATATAAATTCATTACTTACTGTAATTAATTATTAATGATAATATTTTATAATAATTAAATAATTACTATAATTATTATAAAATCAAAGGTGAATCGATCAAATTATTAAAAACAATAATAATAATTCTCAGAGATATAACTATAGAAATAGTAACATGAAACAAGATTAAACATAATTAACAACAATAAAAAAATTATCAAAAATAATTAATAAAATACAAATTAAAATCATTATTATAGCCATTTTACATTAGAATGTTTAAAAGATTTATATTAGTAAAAAATTTTTATTATCTAAAAATAAGTAATATTTACAACAATAATAAAGATAAAGTGAAAATACAAATTAAATAAAAACAATAAATATAAACAACGATTATATAAATAAATTATTTCTTAATTTAAACAATGAATCAACTTTAATCTGAATAAAATTTCCTTGTTTCTTAAAAAGACATGACCCAATCAAACATGTAGACAACGAACTGCTCTTAATGTTTCCCCCATTTATTTCAAACCTACTGAAAAATAGGTCACAAAATGAATATTATCTTAAAAGACATTATAATCACCTATTATAGTTATTTAAATTAATTTGGATTCTTTAGAAGTATTAAACTATCTTATCTTCTATCTTGAATCAAAATATGGAAAAATTTCTCGAATGATTATGACAAATTATTTTATTATGATTATGATACATCCGTTATATATAAAATATTAAAAATAATTTTAATTTGTTTAAGCTTAATAAATATTAATATTTCTTGAGAAACTAAGAAATAACAAATGTTCCTTCCTAAGAAAAAATGACAACCAACGTCATAGTATTTGGATAAAATTTAATGAAATATGTTATACATAAAAATAAAATAAAAGATAATCTTTTTATAATTTATACGTATAAATATCTTAATTTCGTTAATTTCGATTGCTGCCAGGTATTTCAAGAATATTTGGACGTTGTTGTTCCCATTGATCTGGATCTTCTCGTCTTGTTCTACGAAAAATAGTAATTACAATAATAATAATACAAACTAGAATCCCCACTCCTACCCCAAGCCCAATTTCCAAAGAATTTGACGAGCTCTCTGTAGGAAAAGAAGTTGTGCTAAAAGTAGGTCTATTGGTACGAGAAAAACTAGAATTTGCAGAATTAAGTTCATAATAACGACCATAATCATAACCACGATCAGTTGGAATAGTTACCAAAGTTGAAGTTCTACCAGAAAAAGACATATTTAATACATAAAGTTTTATAAATATTAGGACTCGTATAATTTTTTAAAAAAAAATGGTTTAAAATGAAAATGAATTTTTTTTTTGCATAATGAACGGAGTTCTTTGACTCTGCGTCAGTTTAGTGTAATAAACAAAGTTGCGTTATATATAAAAAAAAAGAATAAAAAAAAGTATTTGTTTATGAAAGTACAAGAAATGTGATTGATTAGATGCATCAAGACAAGATTTTAATATTCTAATTGTGAGATGTGAGATTTAAATACTTTTATGGAAATGATTATCGGCATAGGCGATCCAAAGTCATTTCATATTATTATTTTTTTAACTGAAGTGATTTATTCAGGACTGTGAATGTTTTAGGTACTCAACGAGACGAATATTAAAATTATGTAATTATATATAAAAAAATTTTGTCTCTATTACCAGAACATTTAGTGAATTGGCTTATAAAAACTGAAAAATTATTAAAAATTTGAACTGAACAGTTTGACTTGGTAATTATTCTAATATTACCCTCATTTGCTGCAAAAGATTTTTCCTCATTTCAACTTCAATGGCAACATTATAATTTTAAAGTTTTGTCAAAAAAATATTAAAAATAAAATCTAACACACACACATAAATAATTTCCGTCCAAAGTCTACGGAAATTACCCTCAATATCTGTATAGAATGTCCTGCGTATAAAAAGATTTAATGTAAAATATTTTTCCAAGTAATTTTTGGAAGAATATCATTCCAAAATTAATTACAAGAATTATTATGAAGTGTTGGTATGTTCGAGTTACAAATAGACCCACTTTTAAATAATTAAAAGAATTAATTAATAAATTGTCTATATAGCGTTTGTTATGAAACTTATAACTATTCTTTAATTAAAAAAGCCAATACAATGAGTACCACTCTTAGCTATCAAACGCATCCACAAGTCAAAATGATAATAATAGATTAGATTACCAAACTCGCAACCTTAAAAACCAATGTTTATTTTTTTGTGCGATTAATAATTTAAAATTATTTAGTTAGATAAAGAATAAATTTCGTATAACTACAACATAATAATAAACATAAATACTTTTAACCGAAATCCAAAGAAATTGCCTTTTAAATCATTTTTAACAATTGCATAAATTTTTATTGTAATGAGTAAAACTTAATTTACATTTCTTTTTTCAAAAAAAAAAAAATGTCATCTCATGAAATATGCCCAGAATGCAATCAAGAATATACTTCCATCATGACTTCAACCATGTTTAGATGATGCAAACCATATAACTCGAAACATTTTCAAAATGATTTTAATAAATGGACAAGTGGAAATGATAAAATTGATAAATTTATTCAAGATGCTCAATTAAATGTAAATGAATCTGACGAAATAATAGAATGGATACCTTATGATAAATTTAAATATATTAAACAAATAACTAGAGGTGGATTCGGAACAATACATTTAGCTAAGTGGATTGATGGGCAAATTAATGAATGGAATATTGAAAACCAACAATGGAATAGAAATGATCAATGTAAAGTAGTATTAAAAAAATTTGTAAATTTTAATGAAAATTTCTTAAATGAGGTGAATATTTAATTAATATTTTGTCCATGATAATTTCTGATCTCTGTCCCTCATGTGATAGTGACCCAATGAGATCGCGTTTCTTATTTTTTAAATTATCGGATAATTTTAGTCCGGACTTACAACGTATATTAATTAACTATTATTAACTATTATGAAAAAACAGGGTGTAAACATATTTCAATTCAATTTTATGGAATTACACAAGATCCAGAAACACAAATACATAATGGTTTTGAAATATGCAAAAGGTGGAAATCTTAGAAATTAGTTAAAAATAATTTTAATTATGTTGATTGGAAATTTAAATTATATAATTTACATATATTCATGAATTAGGTATAGTTCACCAAGATGGAAATATTTTATTAACTAATTTTACATATAATGTGGTTATTTCGGATTTTGGAATAAGTAAATTAATAGATCCAAGTTCAAATAATCCTGCAAAGAAGAATATTTTTGGGGTTTTACCATATATTGCTCATGTGAAGAAGAATATACAAAAGCTGCTGACGTATATTCATATGGAATTATAGCTTTACGAAATTGTTACAGGCTTTCCTCCATATCCCAATATACCACATGATAAAGATTTAGCTATTAAAAAGCGAATCAAGAATCAATCAATACAACAACTACAGCTCATCTCAACTATCAAACACATCCACAAGCAATTTATACTAGTCGACTTTTAAATTTTTCAAATCTTCCAAAACCTAAGAATGAAGAAAATTTTGAAAGAACTTGAAGAATTAACTAAATCTATGTCTGATTTATGTCCTAGTAAGTATTGTTATATTTTATTCATTATTTTTGTAATTATAATTAATTTTATTAATTTTATTATATCTTATTTAGGTAATTCTGATCTAATTGATTCGATTTAACATTTTATTTACTATTATCATAAATTGTCATTTTTATTAACGCAATTATTAATTGTTAGCGCGAATAATTATTATCTACTAGTAACAATATATCGAATAAAAAATATTTGGATATTGGAAATATATAACGTTAAAAAATAATAATAATAATAATAACAATAAATATTTTATCTAATGAACTTCTTCTAGACTACCTTTTAATTAACAACCTTTTGAATTGAAGATAAATGATCAAGAATAAATCATATCACATGTGCCAATTCTAATAATACTAATAAATTTATTTTCAGGTGTAACAATTTTCTAAAAACTTTTAATTGCAATTGAAAAGTGTTCGAATGATGTTCGTAAAGATTTTTCATAATAATTGCCAGAATTTCTACAGAAACATTTTTTTTTTAAATCCAATGGAGTCTTGCTCCAATAAACTTTTATTAATAAATTAGGTGTAAATTTTAAAGATACATATAATTTATTTTACATTT